CATCGCAGTCACATCCCCGTTCCGGACAGCGCTTGTGATCTCAAGGTAACTTAACTACTGTGTGTGCGCTCCTGCTTTATGGTACCAACTCACGTGCACTGTTGCAGCTATGTTGCCAAGCTTAAAGGGATAGTTCACCCAAAAATGAAAATTCTGTCATTAATTACTCACCCTCATGTCGTTCCAAACCCGTAAGACCTTCATTCATCTTCGGAACACAAATTAAGATATTTTTGATTAAATGTGAGCGCTCTCAGACCCTGCATAGACAGCAACGCAACTGTAATGCCCCCAGGCCCAGAAACGTAGTAAGGACATCGGTGGCTCAACTTCAGTTTTGAAGCTTCGAGAATACATTTTGAGCGCAAAGAAAACAAAAATAACAATTTATTCAACAATTCTTCTCCCCCGAGTAAGGTCTTCCACCATTTTAGACTATCGCAACACATACGCAAGCTTTTTCCTAAGCATAAACAAGGCTGATTATGCAGATTACGTTCATGTGCACGCTTTTTCCTCCGAACGTAAACAACTGATTACATGGATTACACGCTTGGGTACTCTCCAAAATGGCGGAAGTGGGTCATATGATGCGATTTCAAGTTTTCCTTTCTCTTGTGTGTGTGTGTGTGTGTGTGTGTGTGTGCGCGCGCGCGAGCGAGAGAGAGACAGACAGCGTCAAATCACAGTAGTCCGCTGTCTTAACCGCAGATTGTGTACTGCATCATTACTGTGTCTGTTCCCCTTTCGGGCTTGAATTGATGGTAAAACTAATGACATTATTTACTGTCTTTACATTTATTTTGAAAGATGAAGCTCGCGATTATGGTAAGGGAAGTTACATTTCAGACGAGTGCTTGCGGTGTTCGGCCAATCACAATGCACTGGGTCAGCTGGCCAATCAGAGCAGACTGCGCTTGTCGGAAGGAGGGACTTTGTAAAAAACGAAGTGTTTGAGAGAGGCGGGGCATAGAGGACCTACAATAATGTATAGTATTTGAAAAAGAATGTGTTTTTTGAACATTAAAGCATGTCAACATATTCTGTTACACCAAATACACAAAATAATGATCTTTAAAAAAGCATCATATGACCCCTTTAAATAAATTGTTATTTTTGTTATCTTTGCGCTTAAAAAGTATTCTCGTAGCTTCGCAAAACTGAAGTTGAGCCACTGATGTCCTTACTACGTTTCTGGACCTGGGAATATTACGGTTGCGTTGCTGTCTATGCAGGGTCTGAGAGCTCTCACATTTCATCAAAAATATCTTAATTCATGTTCCGAAGATGAACGAAAGTCTTAGGGGCTTGGAACAACATGAGGGTGAGTAATTAATGACAGAATTTTCATTTTGGGGTGAACTAACCCTTTAAGCCATGTTTTGACGTGACATGACATGACGTTTATCTATCTCAAGATGTGCAAAATAAGTGTGAAGTATCATTTTCGAGGAATTATCCTATTTAATTCCTAATTTTTCAAGCACAAATTGAATTCCTTTTAAAATGCCAAATTTTTGTTTAACTATGTATTTGATTTCTAATCATAATTGTAGCTAATCTGTGGGAAACTAATCAAAAATTGCTCGTTGAGCAGTTAGACGCAATAAAAATATGCAAATATTAACATGTACATTAATAGTAGCATATTTTCCCCCCCAGTCAGTTGTGGGGAGTGATAATCCAAGAATAAAATCACATTTCTTTTTACATCTACTTTTTAATTCAGTATAACAAGACTGGAAATCTGCTGGTTTATAATGTGAGTCAACCAGGGTTTTTTTTTTTTTAATGGGGCACTGTTTTCCCACTGGTCACAATTGTGACCACTGACATATTTATGTGTCCTGTGATCATGATTTATGAGACCGAGCGATCTTAATTAATAATAGACGTTTTTAAATATGATATGTACCAAGTGAGGTACATATGCTTATAAATGTACATATAAATGCTTATTTTTATGGAGCTTTGACACAGACATCATCTTTCAGATGGCAAACTGGAATTAAACGGCTCTGGTCATGTTACTATTTATACAAGACATGGTATAAATATAGTAGGTTTTCTAGTGTGGTTTGGTTTTGGTTTTGTTAACCTACATTTAAACTTAATTTTGTTATCAGATGTTAGTGGTGAGATTATCCCACCAATACCAAAAGAAAATGAAAATTGCAGGTAAACAATTTTTTATCTGGTTGGATACCAGTGGCAGCATGTTTAAAAAGGTAACATGCAATGTAAAAATATTATGTAAATTAAAAAAGTAACAAAAAATCTGTGATGATTGGGAATCAATAATTATGATTTGGGTAAAGAAGTTATAAAATAAATTGAATGCGGAGTTTTGCGCATCGTGTATGTGTGTGTGTGTGTGTGTGCGCGCGAGAGAGAGACAGACAGCGTCAAATCATAGTAGTCAGCTGTCTTAACCGCAGATTGTGTACTGCATCATTACTGTGTCTGTTCCCCTTTCGGGCTTGAATTGATGGTAAAACTAATGACATTATTTACTGTCTTTACATTTATTTTGAAAGATGAAGCTCGCGATTATGGTAAGGGAAGTTACATTTCAGACGAGTGCTTGCGGTGTTCGGCCAATCACAATGCACTGGGTCAGCTGGCCAATCAGAGCAGACTGCGCTTGTCGGAAGGAGGGACTTTGTAAAAAACGAAGTGTTTGAGAGAGGCGGGGCATAGAGGACCTACAATAATGTATAGTATTTGAAAAAGAATGTGTTTTTTGAACATTAAAGCATGTCAACATATTCTGTTACACCAAATACACAAAATAATGATCTTTAAAAAAGCATCATATGACCCCTTTAAATAAATTGTTATTTTTGTTATCTTTGCGCTTAAAAAGTATTCTCGTAGCTTCGCAAAACTGAAGTTGAGCCACTGATGTCCTTACTACGTTTCTGGACCTGGGAATATTACGGTTGCGTTGCTGTCTATGCAGGGTCTGAGAGCTCTCACATTTCATCAAAAATATCTTAATTCATGTTCCGAAGATGAACGAAAGTCTTAGGGGCTTGGAACAACATGAGGGTGAGTAATTAATGACAGAATTTTCATTTTGGGGTGAACTAACCCTTTAAGCCATGTTTTGACGTGACATGACATGACGTTTATCTATCTCAAAATGTGCAAAATAAGTGTGAAGTATCATTTTCGAGGAATTATCCTATTTAATTCCTAATTTTTCAAGCACAAATTGAATTCCTTTTAAAATGCCAAATTTTTGTTTAACTATGTATTTGATTTCTAATCATAATTGTAGCTAACCTGTGGGAAACTAATCAACAATTGCTTGTTGAGTAGTTAGACGCAATAAAAATATGCAAATATTAACATGTACATTAATAGTAGCATATTTTCCCCCCCAGTCAGTTGTGGGGAGTGATAATCCAAGAATAAAATCACATTTCTTTTTACATCTACTTTTTAATTCAGTATAACAAGACTGGAAATCTGCTGGTTTATAATGTGAGTCAACCAGGGTTTTTTTTTTTTTAATGGGGCACTGTTTTCCCACTGGTCACAATTGTGACCACTGACATATTTATGTGTCCTGTGATCATGATTTATGAGACCGAGCTATCTTAATTAATAATAGACGTTTTTAAATATGATATGTACCAAGTGAGGTAGTTTGAAATGCTTATTTTTATGGAGCTTTGACACAGACATCATCTTTCAGATGGCAAACTGGAATTAAACGGCTCTGGTCATGTTACTATTTATACAAGACATGGTATAAATATAGTAGGTTTTCTAGTGTGGTTTGGTTTTGTTAACCTACATTTAAACTTAATTTTGTTATCAGATGTTAGTGGTGAGATTATCCCACCAATACCAAAAGAAAATGAAAATTGCAGGTAAACAATTTTTTATCTGGTTGGATGCCAGTGGTAGCATGTTTAAAAAGGTAACATGCAATGTAAAAAGCTGTAAATTTTAGCCGCATTCATCGTGAAACTTGCTAAACTAGCACATTATTAGGAAAGGCAATTTGCAAAGATTCATTAAAAAAAAAAAAACTTATACTCTCTTCTTCTGTAGGTGAATCTGGATCACGAATGATTCGTGCGAACATAAACACATTTAGGTAGATCGGGGGCACATTCCCTTAAAAAAAATGTAATCCACTGCATCTTCAGCGGCTCAGATGTCAGGAGTAAATGACGACTGCTATGTTCATTACAACAAAACACGTCAATCGCTTAGGAGATATTCTTGTCTACAACCACTCCGGCATTGAAACAATGGCGGACTGATGACAGCGCACTCAGGGCAGAGCTGTGATAAAACCAAAGACTGACGCCACTCTCAATCAACAATCGTGGGAGGGGCCTGTGCAGAACTCTGTCATTCTGCCAAGAATATGAGATTGCTTGATATGAGAAAGGGGTTTGGATTTATCGAGATTTAAAAAAATTTTTTTTATCATTATAGAGTGCTTGTGTTCACATACTGCCAAGACACATTTCATTTCAAACAACATGTAAAAGTGAATTTTGCATCTGATGACCCCTTTAACTGGCAAACTGTTTATGCTTATAAAAGCAGAACTGGATATTTTTGTGAGCATTTTAAGATTGTAAGATCGAAACTGGATGATATAGGCATAAAATGTAGGTGTTTTATGCTTGTTTTAACTGGCAAATAAAATGATTCATGCAACGAATTAACTCACATTTTTAGAAATATACCTTAGGTGCACATTACCCTGCATGTCAGAAGTGAATTTTGCATCTGATGACCCCTTTAACTGGCAAACTGTTTATGCTTATAAAAGCAGAACTGGATATTTTTGTGAGCATTTTAAGATTGTAAGGTCGAAACTGGATGATATAGGCATAAAATGTAGGTGTTTTATGCTTGTTTTAACTGGCAAATAAAATGATTCATGCAACGAATTAACTCACATTTTTAGAAATATACCTTAGGTGCACATTACCCTGCATGTCAATGTTTTGATGTTTGACCTTCACAGGTGCTGATAGGTCATATCATGAATAAGATGAACAAACAGACATTTCCAGAGTATTGCAGCCTCTGTAAAGAAGTTCTGCCTTTCACAGACTGCAAACGAGCAGAGTGCAAGAATGGGCACAGATGGCTCAGGTAGGACAAAATATGGTATATGTCATTATAAAATCCAAATATGTGACCCTGGTTCTCAATTCCAGTCCTCGCGTACCCCCCTCTACATGTTTTGCACGTCTCTATTTGTTAACACACCTGATTCAGATCATCTCGTTAGAAGTGAGCTCCGTGCATGAACTGTGTTCCGATTGACATGGTCCCTACACAGTGACCATGTCCAAATATGTGACCCTGGACCACAAAACCAGTCATAAGTAGCATGGGTAGCCTATATTTGTAGCAATAGCCAAAAATACATTGAATGAGTCAAAATGATTGATTTTTCTTTTATGCCAAAAATCATTAGGATATTAAGTAAAGATCTTGCTCCATGGAGATATTTTGTAAATTTCCTACCATAAATGTGTCAAAACTTAATTTTTGATTAGTAATATGCATTGATAAGAATTTCATTTGGACAACTCTAATGGCGATTTTCCTTAATATTGTGATTTTTTTTTTTGCACCCTCAGATTCCAGATTTTCAAATAGTTGTACTATTGTAAATATTGTACTATCATAACAAACCATACATCAATGGAAAGCTTATTTATTCAGATGATGTATAAATCTCAATTTAAAAAATATTATATATATTAAAAGTAAGTGAATAAAAGTATGAAATTATTATAATCTAAATATAATAAAAAGTAAGAAATGCTTAATGGGACAGAGTACTGTAATTGTCAAATAATACAAATAATACAAATGTGATTTTATTTTGGCTATATTTTGCAGTGCCAAGTAAAGTGACACTGTTCTTGGCTCACATCCGACACAGATTGCTCACTTTGATGAGCAGATTAACTTTTGATATTTTGTCATTTTAGATATAATTCATACCATATTCATTTTCTGCACTTAATCCTTATGAATACCAGAATGTAGTCTGCTAGGCTCTTGTTTTGGATTTATGTGCCAATATCATTATAAAATCCAAATATGTGACCCTGGTTCTCAATTCCAGTCCTCGCGTACCCCCCTCTACATGTTTTGCACGTCTCTATTTGTTAACACACCTGATTCAGATCATCTCGTTAGAAGTGAGCTCCGTGCATGAACTGTGTTCCGATTGACATGGTCCCTACACAGTGACCATGTCCAAATATGTGACCCTGGACCACAAAACCAGTCATAAGTAGCATGGGTAGCCTATATTTGTAGCAATAGCCAAAAATACATTGAATGAGTCAAAATGATTGATTTTTCTTTTATGCCAAAAATCATTAGGATATTAAGTAAAGATCTTGCTCCATGGAGATATTTTGTAAATTTCCTACCATAAATGTGTCAAAACTTAATTTTTGATTAGTAATATGCATTGATAAGAATTTCATTTGGACAACTCTAATGGCGATTTTCCTTAATATTGTGATTTTTTTTTTTGCACCCTCAGATTCCAGATTTTCAAATAGTTGTACTATTGTAAATATTGTACTATCATAACAAACCATACATCAATGGAAAGCTTATTTATTCAGATGATGTATAAATCTCAATTTAAAAAATATTATATATATTAAAAGTAAGTGAATAAAAATATGAAATTATTATAATCTAAATATAATAAAAAGTAAGAAATGCTTAATGGGACAGAGTACTGTAATTGTCAAATAATACAAATGTGATTTTATTTTGGCTATATTTTGCAGTGCCAAGTAAAGTGACACTGTTCTTGGCTCACATCCGACACAGATTGCTCACTTTGATGAGCAGATTAACTTTTGATATTTTGTCATTTTAGATATAATTCATACCATATTAATTTTGTAGTCAGAATGTAGTCTGCTAGGCTCTTGTTTTGGATTTATGTGCCAATATCATGTCTTCATAATGATCAGACATGAAAAGTGGAAATTTTCACCTATAAAATCACTTTTTTTCCACTGGACTATATGTAGGTGTTGACTAGGTTTTGAGTAGATTTGACCCACTTTCAAACCACTGGCATGACATTTTATCCATCCGCCTGACTGAAAGGTGATTACTGCCCCTAATGGTGTATCAGGGAAATAGTTGCTTCATTGCTGTCATTCTGATCTCTGCCAAGTACTGATCTAAACCTTCCCCTGCCGTTTCTGTTCATGTATCTTGCTGTCTCTTTCCCTCTTTCTTTCTCTTTCCTTCTTCCTCCCTAAGGTGTGCGCTGTCATATCAGGCCTGTCAGGGTGTGACATACCGCCGCTGTCTATTGCAGGACAGTATTGCCTCAGTAGCAGAGCCCGAGGGTGAGCCATAATGCTGTATCATATCTCCATTCAGAACCACATTGCACCACACACTTACACTTTCTGTAATGCAGCAGGAACATAGCACACACACAAAACAAAAACTCTGCTGCAGCATCTATCTTGGCAATGCATTATTGTAAACAAGTGAATGTAAACGGGCTTGGCGAATATGTCAGAATAATAGATTTATGCGTTTGGCCTATTAGTGTAAATACAGCAACTGTATTTTTTTTAAAACTGTAATTCTTTGATTTTAAAAATTCATTAATTTATTAAAATCAGAAATTAATATTTAGCTTTTTTTTTTTATATATAAATCTTGCATGCACATTTTTTGTGGGGTTTTTTTTCTGTTATTTGTATCAAGTACTGACAAGCCTGTTGGAAGAAATTATTTGCCAAATGCATCATGTTGCAAAAAATGGAGAAAGACAGACAAGCCATTATGGACAAATTTAGACAAACCGCCTTGATTTCATGTTCAGTACATGTAAATGATTATGCATAATAACAACATACTTATCTCCTTTTCAGATTCAGACTGGATCAAGAAAATACTCCAAGGTCCTTGCATCTTTTGTGACTCCCCTCTCTACTAAAGCAGTAGGGTGAAAGATGACAAAATCTCCACGGCTGACTACTGAATTACTTAAGTGGGCTACATGCCACATAAATGCCTTTTATTACTTGAAAGAGAAACCTTTGAAAGTCTGTAAAGTATTCACTAATAGTTTTGTAATATAGGACATGTGGGAAATATTCTTCTCAAAGGATCTTTATTTTAAAGCCAAGCTTGAGCTCAAAAGTGATATATAATTTTTTATATCATGAAAACTATGACTGTATGTGTTAATAAACTATTCTATTGTAATTTTTTTTCTGTTAATGCTGTATATTTTTGATTTGTTAATATTATGCTGCCACGACATTCTACTTTTGCATTAAAAATGCACGCTCTTCCCGTGGGTGATTTTAATTGGTTAAAATAAATCCATTTCCTAATTGGCTTTGGGAACATTTCTATGGATCTGCAAACACCAACTCCCCCATCTCCAAATAATGACTTTTCCTTGGCCTAAAGGAAAAGAAGATGACTGTACAAGGAAATGAAAAACAGCGGGACCGAGAGAAAACTGTTTTAAAACTGATCCAGCCCTCCAAAGGGCCGAACTCTAATGAGATACAACAGTAATGAGGAATGGATCCCGGCTGCATATGTGATGCCCATTTTAATTAAGATAGTGAGCTTGAGTGCATATTGTTAAATCTAGTTAGCCCTTTTTTTGTGGGTCGCAGGGAAGACGCATGCAGGCCATGAACCCTGATGGCCCATTCCGCACAATGTTGCTAACATACTGGGGTCAATGGTAATCAAAGAAAGACTCAGGCCGGTTGGACCCTCAGAATGCTCTCCTCCGTGTCCGTTCTCATCTCCGGTACATCTTGTCGCCTTGCCCTGCGCTCTCTCTAGTGTCACTGAAGATGATAGCTCTCCTCATGGCTAGTCGGCAGCCCTGTCTTAGGTTTCGGATGGTATCCCGAGATAAAGCTGGGCTGATAATTACACACGATTCTGCTCCCATCTCTCGTTCGGCATCAATGAAAGCATTCTGTGTACCATCAAAGGGCTTAAAAATAAAGTAATCCGTGTGTTTATGTAGTTTTTCTTGTGTTTATTATTCATAGAGAGGGCCTTCATTACGATGCGTTCTGAAATGTTGCCATATCATTACAATTGGCAATGCAACATGTAAGGGGTGTTTGATTATGAGGTAATAATGTGCATTATGTATTAATCAAAGAGCGACTAGAACACAAAGGCAGTGCTCAGAACCTCAAATGCCGTCTGCTGCATGTCACAGCAAATTTGTTCACTGACATATTGCGATAAGCATCTAATAACATGAATTTGAAAGCTGTTTTTAAACGATGTAATAGAAGAGAAAATGAAAAGCTATTTGGATTTCAATTGTACACATAATATAGAGTGCATATATTAATAGTCGCAGGTGTTAAATGTCACAGATTAGATTATAACTGCAAACGTGATTGAAATTCCAATTTTTTTCTGCCTGCCTCGTATTTCCTCTCCTAGATATTAGATTGTCAAATGGATCTTGGCCTTTGGGTTTGAGTGCTAGCTTTGTTGATAGGTGGAGACTTCTCCTGTTGAAGAGGTTAGCTCTGTTTGGCAGTACCTCCTACTTTAATATAACAATCTGTCAAAAAACATTTCGACAATAATTACAGCCCCCTCCTCTTTCCTCTTTGTGTGTGCTCTTTCAAGACTTCAAAAGGAGGTTTCGTTCTTTTCTCTGTATGAAATATTCATAACTTCAGTGTTCGTGGCTTTGTGCTTTAAACAGATAACAGACAGCTTTTTTTATATTATTGAATCTTATATTATTTTGTTAGTTAACATATTTTGATATACATCACCTTCCGTTAAGCACCTAATTTGTTGAGCCCAAACAATATGCTAAGCGTCGATCTCAAAGTCATTCTCTCTAACAACGTATTGCACTGAAGTTTTTATTTTTGTGCTACAATTTTTCAAGTTTTATTTAATGGACGTTTTGTGCTCAAGAAAGATTTCCTGGATTTTACCATCAAAAAGTCTGTATAATGTTGATTTGACGTGTTACAAAAATCACTCTGTGACTAATGTACAGTATTTCAGAGTTCATGTACATATGTTCATGTACATTAATTTTGTTTACAGTACAAATCCTTGTTTCTGTTTCCCATGTACATATTTATAAATAAACTTTTCAGATTTGTATGTTTTTTTCCACAATTGTTTCAGCATAAATGTTAATTTAATGTTTTTATCTGATTAACAAACAAAAATGTACAGAGAATATGTAAGTTGCCATATGAAAACACAGTACCGCAGAATTGCATTTTCTCATTAGTAACTTTTATAAATAGTAGTATCAATTTATTAATTTATTTAGAAATTACTATATTTGCATTTATACACATAATTATCGTTTGTAATTGTTTTATTTTATTTGCATTTCTACATTTTATCCTTTCAGTAACAATACTGAATAACCCCTGATATTGATTCATTCCAAGTGTATAAAAACATTAGTTATCACTTTAAATATTAATATTAATTCTCAAGAAGAACTAGTAAGTGGATCATGACATGACGTTTCCTAATTTTTTTTCTTTCAAAAAAGTCAAACAGAAAACAAACTAGAACATAATGCGTATCACACAGGGTTAAATATATTTAAAATAATGTATATATAGTATAATGGCCTATTTAGGTCTGAAGAGGCCCCATAATTATTTCTATTTATGTAATCCTCTTAGCAATTTTATATAAATTGCTTTCATTAGTTTTCTGACACCAAAAGTAAGTTTCACAGTATAATCTGCATGAAAATCTGCATATACATGTATATGTATGTGTATGTGTGATTACGAGTCATACTGGGAAAAAAGAAAATAGCTTCTAAAGCACTAGATTTTCTGATGTGGTTTCACTCTGTAGTGTATATACATCAATTTTCCCACCTGAATACATTTCGTCTCAAGTATGCTTTGTAGAAGTGTTCCCTCAGACTTCAGTAATTAATCAGTAATTAAGTCTGTCTGGGGGCTGTCTAGGGACCCCTGGTTTTTCTTGACCGACTCTGAAATCAGGCTGTGAACATGGCCCTTTAACGGGTACATGGACCCGCTGAGATGGAGTCAGTGACCCGTGACTGGCTGATATGAGCGTATGAGGGAGTGTGAGATGTCAATAGTCAGTCTTTCTGCTTGTTCTGCTGTGTAGAGCAGCTCAGGTGGAACTAATGCAGAACCTCAGGAAGGCCGTGACCAGAGCTCTGCTTTACTGCAACATTAATTAAAGTAATTCGCTGCACACTGAACACACAACCATGGACAAGAGAAAGTGTCAGGAGAGTGTGTGTGTGACTATATATTTATGTTCCTGTAATGTAATAATTAAAAAAATATAAAAGAATGAAAGTTACCATATTGGTAAACAGATTTGCAAATATGCATACGAACCCTTAATTCCACTGAATTTAACCTCTAACAACTTTAAAGAAATGTTATTCTTATGCCAGAAATAAAAACTGGCAAAACCAGCAAAGTAGACAATGTTTAAGCACATGGCACTTGCATCATGCACCTGCACAGATCTATGTCAAATCCAATGATCATTCAAAAAAATTATCAAATTAGAAATGTCTAATAATAATCATCATCCAGTGGCAAAGCCATTTCTGATCCTGTCTGAGTGTGGGTGTTATATGTCAGACTCAAAAGGCTTACATAAAAAGAGCTCTGTTTTATTGAATAAAAGCCATGAAAGAAAAGCCATTGGGCGTTTGCATTTCACACCATTTCGGCGGCGCACTTCCCCTCTGAAGATTCTCCCACTCTTTCCGAATCCTTTCATGTTGGCTTTCACCACAGAGACACAAGGAAGCCCTCATTTTGAAGATTGCTTAAAAATATGTCTCCCAAAGATCAGACAATGCTAAGATTAACCTGCCCTGCACAGAAAGCCCAGAAATGGTCGAAATGAGCAATCCAAACGACGGGAACTGGAGACTTAATGTGACATGACAATGGAAGCGGTTAGCAGTCAGTCATTCATATGTTTCCGTGTTTAATCTGACAGGAGGTGGAAGCAGCCAGTCCAAATCTACAGCATGAGAGGAGCGGAGACAGATGGGACCCAGTCAGGATACAACTCACGCGGATGCATTCAACTCCAACTCAAAGCATATGTCATTAGGACAGTTTCCGCATAAATTACCTGAATTTTCGGCGACCTGCAGATAGTGGATTAACACAGCCCTTTAGATGTGAATACAGCATTGTATGCACCTGAAAAGGCCTTAAATGTGATAATATGCTAAAAGTTAATCACTTTTCTTGAGAATATCTCTAAAGGGGCACAGCAGCTCGAAGAAGTCAGTAACTTACAACTGAACTGTAAATTCATTTGTCTCCACTTCATAAAGCCATGGAATAAAGCACTCGCTGCGAGGGAGCGTGTGTGTTTCGGTATATCCACACTTGTAATTATTTCAGGGGAAGAGTATGAAGAATTTATAATGAGTATTTTTGTTTTTTAAAAAGAAATACCGGTAATAACTACTATGCAAAGCTATCGGAATGAATATTTATGACCTTTGCTATGAAATATTCATAAAGTCGGAGTAAAAAAAGAACACAAAGGGAGAAAATGGGGAAAACCGTGTGTGAGTGAGAAAAGTCACGAGAAGGGAGCCACTGCCTGGATTTCACAGGAAGAGCGACCGACAAAACCTGCGGATCGTGTATCTGACATTTATTAACAAAAGCGCCGGCAACATCCTCCTGGTTTTTTAACCATGCGTCCCTTCATCCCAGAGGTGATACGAGTTTCTTTCGTTCATCCGATCCTCCCCTTTCCGTCGCTCTGGTTCTCTCACTCATCCCCAACCTCTCTTTCTCTCTTCCTCTTGGTTCCATCTACCCAAATTAAGAAATTAATGAGGGATAGATTCTTTACCGACTGCCCCTGCAATGTTTACCACTGATGAAATTATAATGCTGCCTTAGCTGTATAATTTATAAGCCAATTAGAGGAAGTGTTACTTGATTTGATGGGGAGCCGACACACAAAGTACATTTAACTAATAGAGAGCAAGAGAAAGAGATCCGGGGAGAGGGAGGGAGGACAGCTGAGGCTGACGAGTCCTTGCGCCACTCTAGAATTACGTGGCTAATTGCGCTGCTTTATCTGTCTGTCACGGATAGCCATGCATATTTCAGTGTTCCCAAAGACTTTGATTGTTTGCACTCGTGTTGGGCCTGTAACAAGCAGAACAGTGGCCAACGTGGAGAGTAGTTAAAGACTGGCACCAGGAAGAGGTGGAAGAGGGAGGAGGGAAGCCGAAGAGAAGAGTTCCGGCTAAAACTGACAGATGAATATTACTGGAGAGCGAACGGAGCAGAGCACCACCAGAAAGATTAATGCAAACAGAAGAACCGTCTGGTGTAGTATAATTACAGCAAACTTAGGAACAGTAGTTTGCTTTGTAGCCAAAATGTGCATTGTTTGAAAAGTCTCACAGCGAGGGAGAAAAAAAACACATTTTAATCAGTGGTTTTGTCTTGTTTTCTAGTAAAAATATTGCAACATCTTTACAACAAGATAAATTTACTTGAAGGAAAATTGTGTAAGATGACCTTTTTTCAAAGAATAAATCTTTAAGTTTATTTTTATGCTTTATTAGCAAACTATTTTGTTTTCTCAAGAAAAAAAAAACTTTAACTGAACTCAACTTTAACATATTTGTCTTAATATTGAATGAAAGTAAATTTATATTGCTTGCTTATTGGAAAACTAGAATAAACAAATGTAATAAGACAGACACAATAAAAACAAATCTTATTTTTTTCCATTGCTTACAGCCAACTGAGTCACCACTGTTGATTAAATAAGCATAAGAGAATAAGACAAATTAATGGAACTTACAGGGAATAATTAACTCTAAACAATCCTTAGCTGTTACACTTTTTAAATGCATTTTCCATACATACATCAATAGCTTAAAAATCATGAGCACTAAGCAAGACTGGAGGTTTCCAATAACAGAACAAAAAACACACAATGGAATATGTTATCTATACATGATGAAGATCAGAAAGATCATCCTACAAATGTTTTCTTAGCTCAGCCACCATACCGGAGCTCTTCAGAGATCCCGCAGAACTCCAGAGGAGCGAGCGGAGGGACAGGCGTGCCGTTATCAGCCTCTGAAAACTGATCAGACATTTATGCAAAAGAGAGAAACTGGAGCGAAGGCAACTTCAATTATCTGATGAGGCAAGTTTATCTGAACGGCTCCCTTTTCTTTTCCTTTTTTTTCCTGCGTGTGGATCAAATAGCAGCTCTTTACATAACAAAAGAGCTTCCTGGCTGACCTGCTTCATTCAGCCTACTTTCTGATGCAGCTGGACTTTCCATAATAGGAGGACTTTTCTACTGTATAATGCTGCCTTATTCTAAAAACAGAAACTCGTTAATTTCGATTCAGGCCTAATAGCAGTATTGACGTCCACAGATTATATAAACTATTCCTGTTTGTGCAATTAAAACACATAAAATCCATCATCAACCACACTTACAGTACTGTAAGAACCCACCAAAATTATATTTTGCACATTTCCCCCCCACATATTTCAGCAGCAGTATAGAATGCCTAAAACCTACACCTTATTTTTCAGCTGAAGACCAATATGCTGCTTCACCGAACATGTTACTAATTCATCTCTTTTAAAGCCTGTGTAACTGGATAGCTGTTAATTAATATAGCTGTCAGTTAAAGGTCTTCTGCTGGACCAGTGGTAACATTAGCTTGACCTGCTAGTCACACTAGGCCTCTATCTGCAGCTCAATTAAGCTAATGCTATGCAAAAAAGGTCTCCAGCCATTAGTTCTCACACCGGGGCCCATTAATAGCATAATTGGGCCATTCCAAAGGGCAATTAATGTGGAAGCACGCTATGATCTC